AGTATCACAACTCCAGCTCTTTTTTGGTTCCCAATTCCATGGAAAACCTTTTTCCAACCCTTTGCTCTCAGTCTATGTATGTCTTTCTCCATGAGGTGAGTTTCCTGGGGCAACAGATAGAGGGTTTCTGTTTTTTTGTTTTTTTTTTTTTTTCCATTCAGCCAGTCTGTGTCTCTTGATTGGAGAATTTAATCCATTAGCATTCAATGTTATTATAGATGTTATAGAATCTCTACGAGGTTTCATTTGGCCACTGTGTTAATTGCCTTCAGGGTTTCTTGAAGAGCTGGTCTGGTGTTGGCAGATTCTTTCAAGTTTGTTTGTCTGAGAAGATTTTAATCTTTTTTTCTTATATGAAGGATAATCTTGCTGGATATAATAGTGTTGGTTGAAATTGTTTCTCTCTTAAAACTTTCAATATGTCTTTCCATTCTTTTCTTGCTAGCATTGTTTCTGTTGAGAGGTCTGGTGTTAGCCTGATGGGATGACCTTTGTAAGTCACTTCTTGTTTCTCTCTTGCCAGGTTTAGTATCATGTCTTTATCTGTGGTCTTCGAGAGTCTGGCTGCAATGTGCCTTGGGGATGATCTTCTGGGGTTGAGTCTATTTGGGGTCCTTTGTATTTCTTGGGTCTGAATGCTTGTGTGCCTTTCTAGACTTCAGGAAATTTTCTTCCAGTATTTCATGGAATAGATTTTCCATGCTGTTATTAGTTTCTTCACCTTCTGGGATGCCAATTATTCTGATGTTTGGGTGTCTTATGGAATCTAGTTTTTCTCGTATATCATCCTTGTGTTTTTTAGTTATTTTCTCTTTTTGGTGCTTTTTTCTACGTCAGAGGTTTTATCTTCTACATCGGAGATTCGATCTTCTGCACAGTCTAATTGACTTTTAATACTTTCAAGAGCGTTTTTGATTTTCTGTATTTCAGATTTGATCTCTAATAGCTCCATCTGTTTCTTTCTCAGAGTGTCCATTTCTTCTTTCATATCGTGGAAGGACTTCTTAATCTCCTGAAGTTCATTGTCTCTTTTCTGTTCCAACTCATAGAATTTGTACATCATGAAGGTTCTAAATTCTTTCTCTGACATTTTGGTGACATCCTCAGATTTTAGGAGAGAGGAAGGGGAGTTACTCTGTTCCTTTGATGGAGACATATTTCCTGACTTGTTCAGACCTGAGGCTCTTCTACTTCTAGCCATTAGAAGATGTATTCACTTTTGAATATCTCTTAGGAGAAAGTTTCTTTGACTAGGAGCAAACGTGTATCCCTTTTGCTGTGTATTGATATGTGCAGAATTACCTCTCTTGATGTTTTTAGTAAAGTGGCCTCAAGAGGGTTACTCTATTCTAGATATTCATAGATGGTTCAGTATTGATGAGGATCCCAGGAATCTTCCAATACTAGGAAAGTTCAGAACTGGGATTCTTTTTTATTTTGGAGAGGTTTTTTTTTTTTTTTTTTGCTATAGGTCGCGTGCACTCGCCAGACAGAGACAGAGAGACAGAAAGTGAGAAATCACCCCCAGGGGGCATGGCCATGCCACAATCCCTTCTCCTCCATTCTCCTCTTGGGATCTTGTGCACACACACACACACACGTGCCCGCCGTGAGTTTAAGGCACCAGGTCCGGGACTCCTCAAACCACAGTTGACTACATGGGAGTTCAGCAACATAGCCATTACACTAACTGCTGGCCCCCAGAACTGGGATTATAGATCTATCAAATCCTTCAGGAAGAGTGGAGGATGAAGAAGAGAGGATAATGTAAGAGGAAAGAAAAGAGTATAGAGGAGATTAAAGAAAAAGTTGCGCAGCGTGCAATTTCGCCAGTGGGCTATAGATGGAATGAGAGAATTTCTGCAGGGCAAGGACCTGTCCAGTCTGTGGGATAAGGAGGAGGAGAGAATTAGCAAAACAACAACAACAAAAAATAGCAAAGAAGAAAAAAATGAAAAATAAAGCCCTGCCTACCTTTAAAGAAGGTGAGGTCCTAGTCTTGGGAGCCTGGAAGTGGGCTGGGGGGCAGTCGTGCCCTGGCCTTAACTTCCCTTGCTGGGAAGTGGGCTATCTACAATATCATCTTTCTTGTAGATTCGCATATATGTTGCCAAAGGAACCACTCTGTGTTTTCTAAAAGGCCTAGAGAACATACATTGGGTGCCTCTCCTCTTTTCCTTTGTGTTCGTCATTTTGGTTAATTACTGGAAGATGGAGGTTGTGGCCAAAAGGAAGGGAAACTTTCTATTTAATTTGGAGGAAATTATTTCTTATTCTGAGGTTGCTCAGTATGGCAGTATCTCAGACATATGAGCTTATACTCAGTTTTTGTTTTGGTGAAGGTTTCAAAAACAGAAAGCCATTTATGTATTATCTTACATATACACACACACAAAGATGGAAAACAAAAACCCCAGACTGGTACTGAGACATGTGAGTTAAACACAAGTTCATGACAATGAAACATTTCCCCAACATTTAGAAAACCTATTCCCAAATCCAGAGGATAAAATACCATGGTATGAAATGTTTTTTTCCAAGAAGGAAGCAACTACAGAAAGCTTTTATTTGTTCAAAGTAACCAGTGCTATTGGGATGCAACTGCCTG